CCCTGAGTCAGGAAATGAGACACTGCAAATACCTGTGGGGTAGATACAGAGGGTAGTGACACATTTTCATGAGCAGCCACAACTCTGGAGGCCAATGGAGCTGGTATAAGAGGCCTGGGGTAGTGGAGCTATCAGAGTGAGACCTAAGAAGGAGCTATGTCTACCATGGCCTGGACTCTTTTCCTCCTTCTGCTCTTCTCTAAATACACTGGTAGGTACAGGCCTGAGGGGCCAAGGGCAGACCCCTAGCCTAAGTCATTTTTTCTCTGCCTCAAATACCAGTCACTGTCCCCTGCCTCTGCCCTTCATTGTGATGGATCTGTGCTTGCAGGTTCTCTCTCTTTGCTGCACTGACACAGCTGCTCTCCTTCTCTGTATCTCTAGGATCAACAGGCAGACTCACCAACACTCTAAACATAGACCTACTATTGGTAGATTAAAAACATGTACTGGTACTAGCAGGACTTGTATCTGAACATGACTCATACAAACTTGTATCTGAGTCAAACTCAGACAAAGAGCTGGGGCCTGGGTTCCACAATTGAATATCTGGATATGAAGATATCTCAACCAATTAAGTGTATTTGTAAATCTCTGGCTTCCATTTTGAGGACAAGGACAATTATTACTGTCCTGTATGTGAAATTAGTATTAATGACAGTAAAACCATATGAGGTAGTGGGACATGTCCCTCATCTGTAGAGGTTCCAAGTTTATGCCACTTTATGGTGGTAGTCAAGAAACCACACTGTTTATAAAATAACACATCAGATTTATATTAGTGACACACCACAATTCTCTTCCATTAAACAATGTTCATAAAAACTGCAAAATGCAAAACAAAAAAGCCACAACAGCTTATATTAATACTAAAACTAATAAAATTATTAATTACCATCATTAAAGACATTATGGCATAGAAATTGCAACCCATCAAGATGATAACCTGTAATATTATTATAAGTCAATATTCAACAATAGTTTATTTAAGTTATAAACTATGCATAATTGTATATGTAGTAAAATTTTAGCAGTGATCAGTGTCTCTACCCATCAGGAACCAGAAAATGTAATTGCAAATTATATACTGAATTTTGTAACTGCATTTAAAACAATATAATTGAGTTTAATATGTAAACATCCCTGATGTTTCTGCAGATTGACATGTAGGGCTTTTTTTGTCATACTGGGGATTGAACCCAGGGTCTTGTGCATGCAAGGCAAGCACTCTACCAACTGAGCTATATCCCCACTCCTTTATTTGCTTTTAAAAATCTCCTTAATTTTACACTCATGTAAACTATACATGTGAATAATAGAATTGGGATATTCTGCATCAGGTGGAAGCACTAAAAGTTAAAATATTTTAAAATAAAGTTTTTCTTGCTTGTGTAAAATATTTTTCAAACTTAATTTCAATATTCCAAAGCCTTAGAACATAACAATACATTTGGTTTATTTTACTTTTGTCATAATATCAAGCCTGGTTGAAGAATTGTGTGCATTTTAAATCCTCTGTCTCAGTAAACTTAGATCCTACAAGTGTTTAAATTAATGAAGGAAAAGAGTCTAATGGTAGGCTAAAATCCTCATTTAAGTGGTTTATTCTTCCTGTGAATAACCAGGATATGCCTGTATCTATGCAGTAATCCACAGATTGGTCCTAGAGAACAAGCAAATTCATGCTAGCTGAGCATATGTCATCATTCCTTTTGATTTACACATCACCTTAAGGCACCTGGATTCAGAGTGAACATGCCGTTTTGGTATAATACATATATTTTCACTTAAATGCCTTTGTGGAATATTTAAAGCATTTCATAGATATGTAGCACATTTCATTGTTACTTTAATATGCACCAAGAAATGAGATTTAGTGTTATTTCATTTCTTTTCTTTTTTATTTGTTATTCTTGGATAAACATTACAGTAAAGTATATTTTGACATATTGTTAATACATGGGGTACAACCCATTATAATTTTGATTCCAATCTTGTGGTTGAACATGACGTGGAGTTATAATGGTCATTTATTCATATATGAACACAGTGAAGTTATGTCCAATTCATTTTACTGTCTGTCCTATTATCATCACCCTCTTTTTCCTTCATTCCCTTTTGTCTAATACAATGAACTTCTATACTTACCCCACCTACTCTAACTTGCAATGGGTTACCATCCACATATCAGAGAGAACTTTTGGCCTTTGGCTTTTGGGGATTGGCTTATTTCACTTAGCATGATAATCTCAAGTTTCATTCATTTACCCACAAATGCCATAATTTCATTCTTCCTTAAGGCTAAATAATATTCTATTGTGTATATGTACCATATTTCTTTATCCATTCACCTGTTGAAGGTAGCTAGGTTGGTCCCATAATTTAGTTATTGTGAATTGAGCTGCTATAAACATTAATGTGGCTGCATAACTGTAGTATGCTGATTTTAATTGAGAAGTAGGATAGCTGTGTCAAATGGTGGCTCCACTCCAAGTGTTCTAAGGTATCTCCAGACTGCTTTCCAGAGTGTTTGCAATGATTTGCAGTTTCACCATCATGTGCTTATTTTTTATCTGCAATTTTCTTCCTGAAACATTGGTAATTTTATTCAGTTTGTTTTATGTTACTGGGTGTAGAGAGATCAAATATTCTGGGTTAATTTTTGGAGAAAAAGTTAGAAAAAGCATAATCAAAAGAAAAATTTATATGTGCTGGTGGATTTGGGTACACTCATTAAGAAGAGGAGGATTATATTTCCTGATCTGCAAAGGAGTAGGGAAGAATTTTTGTCTTGCTCTTTCTGAATTGAAGGGCAAGTGGAGCTCGACCTGTGGAAAAAAATATCTGGAGAAAATTAACAGTCATTGCACTTAAGAGAACTATGTGAAGGTGGAAAAATAAATTTTCATTAAAACTACATAAAAGCTCAAGGGGACATACACTGCCTATTCTTCACAGTAGAAGAAAGAAATGAAGAAAGGAGGGTGGGAATAGTGATGAAAATTTAATATATTAATGTTTTATAAATTTGAATGGCTTATTAATGCACACATTCTAATACAATTTATTCTAAAATGATTTATCAATCAGAATGTAGGTTGTTTTACAAAATTCTATACTATTGCTTTCAGAAATATTAAAACTACACTGAGATTTCACCTCACTCCAGTCACAATGGCAATTATCGAGAATATAAGCAACAATCAATTTTGAAGATGTGGGGAAATGTATACTCATACATTGCTGGTGGAACTGGAAATTGGTGCAACTACTCTGGAAAGGTCTATGAAGATTCCTCAGAAACTTGGAATGGAACAACAACTTAAACAGCTATCCCATTTCTCGGTTTATACCCAAAGGTATTAAAATGTATACTATAATGATGAATCTGTATCAATATCTGTAGCAGTTCAATCTACAGTATCTAAACTATAGAAAGAGGCTAGGTTCCCTTAAATAGATAAATGGATAAAGAAAACGTGGTATGTATACACAATGAAATATTACTCAGCCTTAAAAAGAAGGAATTTGTGGCATTTATAGATAAATGGATGAACCTGGAGACTATAATCTTAAGTGAAATAAAACAATCCTAAAAACACAAAGCCTCATTGTTCTCTCTGATATGTGAATGCTAACTCAAAATAAGGGAAAGAGGTGAAGAAGAATAGAAATACTTAGGATTAGATAAAGAGGAATGAAGGGAAGGAATGGGGAATAGAAACAGAAAATAGTAGTAGAATGAATTGGACATAATTTCCTGTGTGTGTGTGTGTGTATATATATATATATATATATATATATATATATATATATATATATATATATATATATAACCAATGTAATTATACATCCTATACAACCAGAAAAATGGGAAGTTATACTCCATATAAGTATAATATGTGAAAACATATTCTATTGTCATATATAACCAATAAGAACAAATAAAAAGTAAAATAAAAAAAAATTTAAAATTCAGGATGTACTTCCTCAGATGGAAACATGGAACCTTCCTGAGATACACTGAATCATATTGAACAGATATGAACAAAAGCTGACATTCATGTCCACATACCTGCATATGTCACAGTGACGAGAACAATTCTTTTTTATCCATGACTGAAAATATTCATGGGTTCTGGAATCTGAGTCCTTTCAGGGTCTCCAGTCCCTGTGGCATTCCATGTAACCAATGGTGGCTGAAATGCTACATGGTTGTGACTGACTCATTGTCACAACCCTCATTCACACTTGCTGACAATAAAGGTTACAAATATGTGAACTGAGAAAACTTAATAACATGCATATATGTATCTTCTAAATAGCATCAAATGGGTGCTCATAAGGTATTGCAACTGTGTTTCGTACCATGTCAAAGGTGAAAAGACTATGGGAACAAAATTTTTTTGTTGTGGATAAACAAGATGGTACCCACAAAATAATGAAACTGAAAAGTTTATATTCACCTGCTTAATTTTGATCTGAGAAGAATTTATATGAAAGACAATACCATAGTCCTGTTCAGGGAAGAGTCAAGTGAACTGTGCATAAATTCACCATGAGGAATCTGAGGAATGCAAGAAGGCCTTCCTGAGATAATGAGGAGGCCACACAAGGGGCTAAATGGCTGGGCACCTAGGCAGAGGCAGTGGGTGTAGTGGAGACATAGGATTGTCTCAGGGGTTCTGATCACAATGTAACATGATGATGTGCATGAACAACAGGGGGCACTGCAGACCAGTTAAGAGGAGTTAGGTAGTAACAATTAATATAATAAGCCACCTGGCTATTCCTGAGTTTCTCATGTTATGGCTCACAGCTGTGACCTCCCATATCTCTGACCTAACCCGACTCCACCCCTGCACACCCACTTGGCATCTTTATGTACAAGAGTTGAACCCAGACCCAGGGTATAATCAGAAAATGTGGAGGAAACTAATTTGCATGGATAGAACTTCCCCTTCTCAGAGTTTAATAAAGAGGGCAAGGGAGAAACTTGGGGGAAACCCTGCTCAGGACTAGGAAGAGGAAGCAGAGTTCAGGATGATCTTCACCATGGCCTGGTCTTGTCTCCTCTTCACAGTCCTTGTTCAGTGCACAGGTGACATGATATGGAGGAGGAATAGTGTGTGGGAGTCCTCTGATATAGGTCCTGATTATACTCTTTTTTCTAGACAAATATCACTTTCTCTGTGTTTCTCTCACTTCCAGGGTCCTGGGCCCAGTCTGTGCTGACTCAGCAGCCCTCACTTTCTGGGACTCCAGGACAGAGGATCACCATCTCCTGCACTGTAAATAGCAACAATATTGGTGGTAATTATGTGAACTGGTACCAACAGCTCCCAGAAATGGCTCCCAAACTCCTCATCTATGGTAATAGTAATCGATACTCAGGGGTCCCTGATCGCTTCTCTGGCTCCAAGTCTGGCAACTCTGCTTCACTGACCATCACTGGACTCCAACCTGAGGATGAGGCTATCTATCACTGTCAGTCTTATGATGACAGCCTGAAGGCTGGCACAGTGCTTCAGGCTCTTAGGGAAGTAATACAAGAACCCTTTACCATCTGTCAGGATGGCAAACATGCAGCAGCTTTGCTCAGGCCTGGTCTCTGGCTTTTTCTGCTACCACTACTATAAGCCCAGCTGAATCTACTGGCACCCCTTTGGGTAAGAAGGTTCTTGTCCTCTGCACTCAGAGTCATTAAAAGCAGCATGTTTCTAGGAAAATGCATCCATAGAAACAGAAATCCCTGCTTCTTATTAGCTTGAGGAGATGAACAGAATGTTGTTGTCCCTTTGCTTTGAAGTTCAGCTGATGAGGCAGCCAGTGCATTCCTTGTCTTCTCAGAGTTCACATCTGATGGGGAATCCTGTGGTTCCACACTTCATATTTCTTATTTCCATTTATTCTAGAACTGTGTCTTCTTCTCCTTAGGCCTTATTGTGTATAAATGTGATTCATGTTTTAGCCTAATTTTATGTAAGTTTTCTAACAGGCAATATTTGAAAGACAATAAATACACATAATTGAAAACAGAGATTTTGAGATAGTGTCCCACCTTTGGGAACATCAAGACAGTTAGGTCAAGGAATCTGTCCACCAGCCCACAAGCCTACTTTAACCTTTCAGAATCCTCCCTCCATCTCTGCCCACAGAAACTCCCATGAAATCACTGACTTTATTTCTGATTATTGGTCAGGTTTTCTCATATATTTAAAAACAACAGAGAATATTTTTTCTTGAATGACCTTTTCAATTTTATAAATACCTTTTGAGACCCTTCACATTTTGTTGAAATTTCATTGATTCTGCTGGGGACATATCATGACCTTTATGGTCTCTGGATATTGCTGTGTTGATGCACACATTTTTATGATCATGTGTGTGTTAAAATTTTATTTTATAACTTTGTAAGTATAGAGAACAATATAATCTAGCCTTCATTGTATTGATTGAGTTATTGACCTCCTAATATAAGAACTTTCCTCAAAAATTGATAGGAACCAATCAGAAATCCTATTCCTTTGTTATCTATTCACTGGACTCAGCATCTCCTCATGGGGCCTGTGGAGATGTCTTCCCAGGCCTTTCCCCTCCTCACTTAGTAGAAAAACTGTCCTATGTCAAAGCTTGTGGTGGAACTGAGATAAAAGGCAAGCGGGCTGACATGCTTGAGTTTCAGGGAGTTACTTGCAAGTAGAAGGCAATTAGAGGATCAAGTGCCCGCCTTGTGTGCTCACTCAGAGTTTTGAAGGTGTCTCTTACATTGTCAGAATCTTTGCAAGGAGATCTGCAACTATAACACGTTTCCTGGAGCCCATCTGATAACAATAATACTACTAGGAAAATTGTGGTGTCTCCATATACTGATAACAATAGCTAACACATAAGGGAGGCTCAGGACAGGGACAGGCAGTGAAGGTGTGTATTTCTAGCTGCATTCAGGATACAAAAGTTATTTTGGTCCATGTCCTGCCTGAGGTGCCTCCAAATCAGGTTTCTGAAGTCCAGTTAGTTAAGTAAGAAATAAGCACCTTTCATGTTTCCTTCTTAATCTCATGTCAGTTGAGATTCCCAGTAGTTAACCAGTGTCTGACAAACAGTTCATCTTACAAGGACACATGCTGTGACATCTTGAAAGGCATAGATGGCAAGAGCTTGACCTGAAACACTTCTCCTTAGATACTTTCAGGGAATAAAAGTGGATTCGGGTAGTTGCAGCTAAGAGACAGAACACATAAAAAAATCCAGGTGGTCTGAATGCCACCATGTTTGCTATATTTATGTGCTTTTATTTCCTTTAAAAGCTACAGAAGGGAATTCAAGGGACATGCATAGGAGCCCAGATTGTCCCTTGCAGATATAGGGAACAATAGTAAATGTTTGAACATTCAAAAAGAAAGGGGTCTTTCACCATGAGGTTGGCAGGGTGTGACAGAATTAGCTGCATCTAGAGCTTGCTCTGTACAACAACTAATTGGAGAAAGAAAGCCAAATGAGGAGCCCCCCAACCTCCTGTGTATAAGAGAAATATTAGAGAAGATAGGTAGCCAGAAAAACTTAATATCTGGCCATGAGAACCACCAGAGGGTCATTTTCTCAATTCAACAGTAGGTCTATTTATTGTGGCTGCTTTCGTGATCCATTGGTTAGCATTCAGCTCTCTCACTGCCATGGCCCAAGTTAGATTTCTGGTCAGTGAAATGTTCCTTTTGCCATCTGTGGTGGTGCATGCCTGTAATCCCAGATACTCAGAAGGCTGAGACAGCAAGTTGAAGGCAAACTTCAACAACTGAGGTACAACTTGCTTCAAAAACAAACAAAATAAAACAAGAACAATGAAATATCACAGAGAAGCCATTCATTCTAATATTTAACTTGGGACATTGAAGATGTTTCTGATTCTCAATGGTTATGAACATTGCTTTGGTTAGCAACTTAAAGGGTTTCCAGGAGTTGTTTGGATATAGGACTGTGCATCACATGTGTGCACAAATAGTGTCATGGTTACCAAATTTCCATTTCCTTTTCAGTGCCAGACACAATTCTCTGCCTCCTTGAAGAATTCCTTGGCTCAGGGAGTTAGGAAGATGGCGGCGAGGGGAGTGCATTGGCCCCGTGTGCTGTTTCACTGTGTGGGAGTATGACAAGTCAGGACGGCTAAAGGCTATCTTGTTAGGAATTTCCAGCAATAATGGGGTGCTCTGGAACCTGGAGGAAGGATTTCCATAGCACGAGGATTGGCTACGGGGACTCAAACGCGAGAGGTTTGTCGCACGGAGGGTAACACTGCTTATTCAGCAAATCGCCCCGCGGCTAGAGTCTGCAGCGCACGCTGGGAAACGAGGAGATAGCGATGCAGGGATACAGCGCTGCAGTTTCTGCAAGCCGTGCAAGCACCGTACTCAGGGCTGAATTCTGGGTTCCACACGGGGGAAGGAAGCAGTCCATCTCGGTTCTCCACACCGGTAAGACCACAGAGGAGGCCAGCAGCCACCATGTTGGAAAGCTGACGTCACCATCCCTGTTTTCCACTGACTGAAGCTCATTCAGCCATAGAACAGGAAATTTCAGGCTGCCATTCGCCTGCGGCTTGCAGACAGATTGCTAGGGTTCAGTGCCTGGGTGATTCTTAGAACCTGATCTTATCGGAGCGAACACCGAAGGCTGGGCGGCCGAGTTCCGGCTCCTGGAACCGCCCTAGCCCAGGGCTGCGGAGCCTGCGGAGGCTGCTTCTTGGACCCTGCTCCTATCAGAGCATACACCAAGCACTAAGCGGCCGAATTCCGGCTCCCAGAACTGAGCCCGCGGGGACTGCTTCTTGGAGCCTACTCTTATAGGAGCTTACACCGAGCACGGAGCGGCCGAGTTCCGGCTCCTGGAACTTCCCTGGCCCGGGTCTAGGAGCCCGCGGAAACTGCTTCTCGGTCCGGGTCCTGCTGAGGGCCGGTCAGGACTCACCCGTTGCTTTGGTTGCCCGGCAAGGGGAACGAAATGCTGCCATTCGCATAGGATACCAACATGGCAGAGATCTGATGTCATCAGAAAGCGGCGGAGGAGAGAACTTCATCAATACCAGCAGCGACAGAAACAGTTGGTCTCCTGGTAGGGGGTGGTGAGGCACAGATACCTGAGTCTCCTCAATTTGTCCTCGAGCCAGAGGGGAGGAGCTGGGCCGCCACCAGCGCCCGGAGCAGGCCCAGCAGCTCGCCAGCGTGGTGACCGCATGACCCCAATTGGAGAGGGGGTGGAGCGGAGCCGCCACCCGCACCCGCAAGGTGGGCAGACCCGCGACCCAGTGGTACATGGGCGTGGTAGGAGGGGCAGGGCAGAGCCGCCATTCACGCTTGCAAGGTAAACAGACCTGTGACAGCCTGGCGGGTCAGGCCCAGTGGCCTGCCAGTGTGGTACACAAGTCACCCCAACTGGAGTAGGGGCAGAGCAGATCCTTCTCCCACGCCCAGATCAGGCCCTGCCGGTGTGGTGGCCACGTGACCCCAATTGGAGTGGGGGCGGAGCGGAACCGCCACCCGTGCCTGCAGGGTGAGCAGACCTGTGACCAACCTGCAGATCAGGCCCAGGGGTCCGCAGGCATGGTAGGAGGGGCAGGGCAGATCCGCCGCCCGCGCCTCCAAGGTAGGCAGACCTGCAACAGACCGGTGGATCAGGCCCAGGAGCCTGCCGGCGTGGTACACACACCACCCTAATTGGAGTAGGGGTAGAACAGAGTTGCCGCCCGTGCCAGGAACAGGCCCAGCGTCCTGCAGGCGGGGTAGTCACGACACCCCAATTGGAGTAGGGGCAGAGCAGAGCCTCCACCCGTGCCCGAAAGGTGGGCAGATCTGCGACCGACCAGCGGGACAGGCCCAGTGGCCTGCCAGTACGACAGACACGTCACCCCATTTGGAGTAGGGGCAGAGTAGAGCCGCCGCCCGCGCCTGCAGGGTAGGCAAACCTGCAACCGACCAGTGGATCAGGCCCGGTGGCCTGCCGGCGTGGTACACTCGTCACCCCAATTGGAGTAGGGGCAGAACAGAGCCGCCGCCAGCTCCCAGAACAGGCCCAGTGACCTGCCGGCGTGGTAGCCACGACACCCCAATTGGAATAAGGAGAGAGCAGAGCCGCCGCCCGTGCCTGCAGGAAATATACGCAAGCAGTATGAAAAGAAAAGGAAAGAAAGGACCACAAGCAATGCAGGTCAACGCAACTTTAGAAGAGGTAACAGCTGCAGCAGATGGAATGTCAGATAAAGAATTCAGGATATACATGCTTCAGATGACCTGGAGTATCAAGGAAGACATTAAACAGCAAAATCAGACAATGAAAGATCACTTCGACAATGAATTAGGCAAACAAATCCAGGAAGCAAAGGATCAACTATACAGGGAGATAGAGGTTATAAAAACCAAACAAACAGAAATCCTAGAAATGCAGGAAGCAATAAACCAACTTAAAAACTCAATGGAGAATACTACCAGCAGAGTAGAACACTTAGAAGATAGAACATCAGACAATGAAGACAAAGTATTTCAACTGGAAAAGAACATAGACAGCTCAGCAAGACTGTTAAGAAACAATGAGCAGAACATCCAAGAAATATGGGATAACATTAAGAGACCAAACTTAAGAGTCATTG